TTAAAATTAGCAAGAAATTCCAAAATGCCGAGGCTTATGGCAGTTTTCATATATTTCCCCTCCATCTGTAGCCTATGGTGAGCTCCCCTGTGTCCTGAGTGCTTAGTCTGTGTAACTCCAAATATCACAGAATGCCTGGAGGAGTCTTCCCTTTCCACTCGTTGAAAATTGTCAACATGACAGTACTGCAGTAGGGGTGGAAACATTTTGAAACATGTTCTACAGATAAAATGGGAATGTGGATGTGATATCTCCATCTCCTACTTGTAAATATCCCAGAGGCTTTTGATTGAGCTCCGTAAGAGGCAAAACGTTAGACTAAAATGGCTCCTGGCTTGGTCAATGGGGCCATTCTTACGTATTTCTTAATAATTAGCCTCTAAAGAAAGCTAGTCCTATTTGATAGTTTGGAAATGCTAGCCAGGTGTTTTTCTGGCAGGATGGTATTGTTGAAAGCGATATCCCTCCATTTTTAACCTCTTCATTTCCTCTTCTTTATCATTTCCCCTTTAGTATATCTGGAACTATAAATTTTAAGATAAAGGGCCATCTGTTTTAGCCCCAGTTATGGCACTTTCTTGATGAGTCTAGTACATATGTTGTTTGCTCTCTTAAAAGATGCTGCTTTTGGAAGTGTTTTTTCAAAGGTCACTAAATTATACCCAGTCCTCAGATTTGCCATCTGTTGCCCCTTGGCTCTTAACTCTGACCTCTGCTATTTATTTGAGCTATCTAGATTGTACATTAACTTAGGTAAACATTTGTGTCCAAGATGGCTTGCTAATAAAGATCTACCTTTATTTATATGGCTTGTCTAGAAATAAACAATTGTGTCCAAAGTGGCCTGCTAATAAATTAAAGATCTATTTTTATTTGTTTATATTGCTTTTACAGAGGTAACCATTTGTGTCCAAGGCAGCCTGCTAATAAATTAAAGATGTTTGTTTGTTTGTTTGTTTATATTGCTTTTATGAATAATGTCTATCGAATTGTAACTCTGAATTATTACAATGATATCTTGTACTTTGGTTATTCCTTTGTTTTCTCCCCTATTTGTTTCATTTTTTTAAAAGCACTTTTTATGTGTGGGGTTCCTTCCCACCACCTTTCTTTGAAAATGTAAAATGTTAAAGATGTGTCTTAAGGCAAAAAGCATATCTTTGCCTTTGTTTCAATCCGTGCCTTTTTCCATTTTCTCTTTAGGTACATTCCACCTTTGATCTGGGGAAAGAGTGGGCACATTCAGACTGCCCTTTACGGGAAGATGGGGAGAGTAAGTTCACCACATCCTTACGGGCTTCGCAAGTACCTCACCATGTCAGATGGTGCCACAGCCACTTTTGACCTCTTTGAACCACTAGCTGAAAACAGCAGCAAAGGTTAGCCTGTGCCTATCTATTCTTTCTCGACCCGGAAGTTTGAGTAAATATTGGCAGAAAATACCGGCTGCAACATTTACTCCCACGGGAGAGACTGGAGATTTATTGGGTTTATAATTCTGGCCTAAGTTTCAGCTTTTGGTCTGGTGGCCTGACTTTTGAACCTCTGGCCCAAGAGCTGCCTAGGTGGTGTGTACAAATACGAGATTATTTTTATAGCCCTCAGATAAGAGGCATTGCGTCAAGAGTTCTTTTTTAGGGCTACAATGTCAAATGTTATTCCTGTTACTCATAAAGATGACTCCTGTGAGATAGGCGGCTATATACAGATAGTCCTCGACTCGCCACAGTTCATTTAGTGACCGTTCCAAGTTACAACGGCACTGGGGAAAAAAGTTATGGCCATTTGTCACAGTTAACAACCTTTGTAGCACCTCCGTGGTCACGTGATCAAAATTCAGAGGCTTGGCAACTGGTTCGTATTTTACGACCGTTGCAGTGTCCTGGAGTCCCGCGATCCCCTTTGGCAACCGTCTGACAAGCAAAGTCAACGGGGAAGACGGGTTCACTTAACAACCGGGTCACTAACTTATCAGCTGCAGCGATTCACTTAACAACGTGGCAGGAAAGGTCGTAAAACGGGGCAAAACTCACTTAACCAATGCCTGGCTTAACAACAGAAATTTTGGGCTCCACGGTGGTCGTAAGTTGAGGACTACCTGTCAATCAATCAATCATTCAATCATGCTTGGGATTAAGGTCTGTTAAATAGACTGTAAAGACTGGGATCCCCCCCACCCCCGGTGAGGAGCTTAATTAAATCTGAAAGCTGTTTTGTTTGCTTGAGAGAATTCACCCTAATCTTATACGTGAAGTTGTCTGTTGGAAGGGAAAAGATGCCATTGGGTTTGAAGTATCCAGGTGTATTGGAAACTTCTGCCCGATGTCTAAAATATGGTCCTCTCCAGGGCCTTCCTTTTGCCAAAACAGCACGTGGCTAGTTCTTGCAACAGAACCTCGAACAGCAGATGCTTTCCAAAGTAACACTCTGCTCTTAGCTGTAGCTTAATTGCTTTGAAAGTATTATTTCCTCTTCCCCCAAAGGATACCATACTTTCCATTTGTCACACAGGCGTGAAAAATACAGACCAAAACCAAATCCCTTCTCCTCCGGTCTTCTTTCTCCTTTTCCTAAAGAATATTCTTGAGAAGGGAAAATGTCATGAGGCATTCACGTGAAGTGTTAATACCACTTTACAAGGCCTCGGTAAGGCCACACTTGGAATACTGCATCCAGTTTTGGTCACCACAATGTAAACAAGATGTTGAGACTCTAGAAAGAGTGCAGAGAAGAGCAACAAAGAGGATCAGGGGACTGGAAGCTAAAACATATAAGGAACGGTTGCTGGAATTGGGCATGTCTAGTTTAATGAAGAGAAGGACGAGGGGGGACACGATAGCAGTCTTCCAATATCTCAGGGACTGCCCCAAAGAAGAGGGAGTCAAGCTATTCTCCAAGGCGCCTGAAGGCAGAACAAGAAGCAACGGATGGAAACTGATCAAGGAGAGAAGCAACCTAGAACTAAGGAGAAACTTCCTGACAGTGAGGACAATTAACCAGTGGAACAACCTGCCTCCAGAAGCGGTGAATGCTCCAAGACTGGACGTTTTTAAGAAGAGATTGGACAGCCATTTGTCTGAAATGGTGTAGGGTTCCTGCCTGAGCAGGGGGTTGGACTCGATGACCTCCAAGGTCCCTTCCAACTTTATTATTATTATAAGTAATACAAGCCTCATTCATAAGAGGTTCAGAGCAGCTAAGCTTACTGATAGCTTATCCCAAGTTGCTTTAAGACCACCACCTCCAATTTGAAGCTTCTCAGAGGTAGTGGAAGAATTCCCTGCTCACAGAGCCAGTGACTGTGACAGCTTAAAGTTAGAGTTCACATTTGACAGGCATCAACTTAGGAAAACCGCTTTAAAGCCTTTCTGAGAAAAAACAGGAGATAAACATTCTGGTGTGTGTGCATGCATGCTTTTATTTTCCCCTGGTTGCTGCTTGCTTGCAGAAATTAACTGAAAAAAAGCCTAATGAACCTGGCTATGAGATAAATAAAGAGAGGGGATAAAGAAATTCTTTCTGGAATTTTAACAACTAGTCACATTTAGAGAAGTCGTCTTTGTCAGCGGCTGCTAATTGGAGAAGTTGTTTTCAGTGATGCTTGCAGTAACTTGTCAAAATAAATTCTGGGTCATTTTAAAGAGCTTGGGTAAACAAACTGAAGTTGCGTAATGGATGTCGTGTTTCCTCTCTCTGTGTTGTACTGTGGCATAATAAATTGCCACATTCTGAGCAAAAGTATGTGTGTTTGAGAGAGAGGGAGGGGGTGGAGAGAGAGAGAGAGAGAGAGAAGAAATGTAAAATTTGCTTTGTTCTGAAATTAGTCTCCCTAGATTAAAGTTAGCGAATGAAATGTCATTTTGCATCTTCCATATCCAACTTCTTAAAATTCTCCCTCTCCGATGTTTTTATTCTCCAGAAGATATCACAATGGTCATCTGCCCTGGAATAGCTAACCACAGTGAGAAGCAGTACATCCGAACCTTCGTTGACTATGCTCAAAAGAAGGGCTACCGATGCGCTGTGTTAAATCACCTCGGGGCCCTTCCAAATATTGAGCTGACTTCGCCACGCATGTTCACGTATGGTAAATATTGGCTCACCCTTCCGTCTTCCTCCTGTCAGCGTTAGTTCCTTGCATGCCTCTGTTCCTAGTGTCCAAGGTACGGGTGGGTCTAATTTGATCAATGGCTCAGCTCACACTTTTACAGTAAGCCCTTGGTCTGCTCTGACCATGTGAATCCAACCAGGATTGTGGTCTGTTAAAAAAATTTAAGTATATATTGTTAAATCATGCTAAGGAACAAAATATGGCAGAAGGTTAATTCAATGAAAAAAAAAAGACTTTTTTTCAACATGGGCATGTTTCTATACGCATGAAGAGAAAGGACAGAGAGAGCTGTTTTCTCCTAGGAATATACATGCAATGCCATAGCATCAGTTCCTTTAGCTTGACTCAGGTTATAGTGCCAGAAAACTAGAGTGAGACATAGCTTGCTATAGGACTCTTGGAGAGTAGCACGCTGATACTTCTTAAAACCCAAAGGATAGGAGTTAGCACCAAAGGAAGAATTTGTTTTTCCATTGAAATCTTGTTGGTTCCTGCCATTCCTTGTATCCTGTTGTTTATGATGAGTATTTCAATTCTCTAGTGTGAAGCCTTTGGCATCACTTTTTTTAAAAAAATTAATTATAGTCTGTAGCCTCAGGAGATTATTCTGGAGTGTTATTGAGCAATCAAAATGTTACTGTAATGTTCTGCCCTATCTTCCATTTCTCTTATGCTTTATTTACCTATACTCAGGTTTGACACTTGAAAACAAAATCCTAGTAGAAAGGATTTTGCCTGTTATGCACCTGAATAGATAGCAGCTTGATTCCAGCCCTAAAACATTGTACATATAACTTTCCACAAGTTCACACCTTTAAGCTGGAGGACCCTGTTGTTCTCCAGATGTTGATGAACTTTGGCGTCGAGGAGCTGAAGCCGGTATGGCCCGTGCTAAGGAATGTTGGGCCTTGGCCATATCTTGGGTTTCCCACCATACCTATTGATCAAATGTATTAATATTGCTCCTGATGTGGACTTCCAATTCCCAGAAATTTCCAGCCAGCATGTCTTTCTTTTCACTGTTTCATAGGTTGCACCTGGGAATTTGCCGCTATGGTGACCCACATCAAGAAGACATATCCTCAGTCCAACCTTGTTGTTGTTGGCTTTAGCCTGGGTGGAAATATAGTGTGCAAATATCTTGGCGAGTCCCACATTAACCAGGACCGGGTGCTCTGTTGTGTCAGTGTGTGTCAGGGGTATAGCGCATTGAGGTGAGTTAACTTCTGAGCAGGAGGAGAGTATGGTTGCCATTGTGTTTCCCCAAAAATAAGCCTGGGTCTTATATTAATTTTTGCTCCCAAAGACTCACTAGGGCTTATTTTTCAGGGGAAATATGGTCTTATTTGGGGGAAAGCATGGTACTAAATGCATCCGTCTGGCTGACAATCTTAACGGGCTTATTTTTGGGGTGGGGCTTATATTACGAGCATCTTGGAAAATCATGCTAGAGTTTATTTTCCGGTTGGGTCTTATTTTCGGGAAAACATGGTAGGTGCTTTTGCTGAGGGTAGAGGAAGTAAACCATTTCTGCATTTCTTGTACCGAACTGCCTCTTTCTAGTCCTTTCGCAAGATTCTGTCTTTTCGGAAATTATGACATTAGGAGGCAACCTTCAGTAGTAATTCCAAATCTATATCAAATGCAATAAAGCAAAGACTGCAATCAGACTAAAAAATCTAAATATACTACAGATAGGAAATTATTATAGAAATATAAAAGGAATTAACAGATCTGAAAGAGTAAAGGCAGTTGCCTGCTGCTGGAAAAAAATACTATCTCTTTAGGAGGGTATTTTCAGTCTGGTTTGGTTCAGTCCAACACTAACAGGAATACAACCATTATCTTAATCTGTCCAGTATTGGTTTATCATCCCAATACACGTATTTCATGGGTTAAAAACCTCTCTTGTGTTTGATTTCAATTTGAAAATGGCTAATTTGGCCCCAAATGCTATTGGAATCCAATGCTACAACTCCATCGTAACTAAATAAAAAGTAGACTGGCCAAAATTAAGGGGCTTTATTTCAGAAAGATTATACAGCATATAGATCTTATTAGTGTACCAAAAGCACATTAATTGTCCAGTAGAATTGAGCCATATCCATATTAAAAAAATATATCAACTCAGTTTGACTCTTAGTTTCTCACAGATTTTATATTTCAGGCGACGAAGTGGCCGAAATTTTGCCCAGATTAAATCTTGAAAAGCAATAGGATTAGAACAGTGCAAGCTTTATATTTTACATCTTATTTTGTCCGTCCTCAGACTTATCAAATTGAACTGGAGGAAAGTGGGAGGATACTGTACTTAGTGGGAAAATGGATCTGACACCTTATGGCAAACACCTTGATAAGATGATGTTGCATGTTCCATACGTACGCAGTTAAGAATTTGGAAGACCATAATATAACACAGAAAAATTTTGTTTAAACCAAGTAATTGGTCTAAGTGATGATGTAATGTATTCCCTGCCCAAACCTGGCTAAATATCAAAAGAAGCTTTCAAGTCAGCTTCTGTATTGATCTATACGTACTTGGCCAACTTTTGCAACGTCTGATCCTCCAGCTGATTTTAGAAACGACACTTTGAGACAGTATAGGACCATGTACTCTTTTCGTAATTTTTTCTTTTGCAAGTTTGTTGGCAGCTTCATATTCCTGTTTTTGAGGATATTGTTCCCTCTAATGGTTGACTTTTTAATAGCACTTCTCTGTCATTGCCTAAGCTGTGGAACTACGCCTAATCCTCAACACATGCCTCTAATGGAGATTGCCCTCTATGGTTGTTAAAAGAACACAGACAGCATTGTTCATTAGGGCCTGGTTTTGCCCCAAACCAGAAGTGCCAGTTTTTAGCAAAACTCTGCCGAAACTCGGTCATGTGCTTGCAGGATGGCCATCAAGGCAGCCATGTCGCTGAGGTACAGCCACATGACCGTGGGTGGGGTGACAGCCATCACTTCAGAATCAGGTCGTACCTCCCCTTTTTCAGATAACTCGTAACTTCAGATGGTCGCTAAGCAATCAGTTGTAAGTCGAGGACCACCTGTGTTGCTAGCCCCTAGGAAAAGATTTAAAGGAGTGATGTTGCAAGTTAGCGTCTTGTCACCATGACCGGACAATAATGTTCATTAACTGGGTTTTATTTATTTATTTTCCTCTCTACCATTGTTTAGGGCCCAGGAAACCTTCATGCAGTGGGACCAGTGCCGGAGATTTTACAATTTCCTCATGGCGGACAACCTGAAAAAAATAATCTTGTCTCACAGGTGTAGAAATATATCTTATTTTGCTCTCAATGTATGGCATGTTGTGTTGGGTGGATTGCAATTTTTACCGCTCCAAGCTAGTTAGTTTTAATCAGGTTGGATAGATTATTTACTCGATTCATCTGGATGAAAACTAGAGCATTTAGCTTAAGAGATGGTCTGTTATGACCAGAGACTGGAAAATAGAATTTTTTTAAAAAAATATCTTTTGGCACATTTTTAGATCAGCAACTGTATGAAATACTAATAATTGTAACGGCTGCTGTGATTCCTCCTCAAGGCTTTCATGGCAAAGAGCAGTGGGGAAGGAAAATCTTTAGGGCATTAAGAGTCTCTTATGGTTTACAGGGTACTGAATCTCCTTAATTTGTCCCAGATATGGTTTGTAAACCTGTTGACGTCTATAAAATTAGAAGGAGAAAATTTTCTCAGGGGTCAGAATTCATGTTCGTTAGGAAACGTTTAGACTTCCTATAGAACAATTAGACGGTTTTTGTAAAACAGAGGTATTATCTAGAAAACACGACAGCACGTTGGGGGCTCGGTTTAAAGGGGTTTACAAAAACACGAGATGTTCATGAGAGAACAAAGCTCACACATATGGCCCACAGTTTTCCTTTTGTTCTCAGCTCTTTATTTCCTGCACAGTCAGGAGCGCTAATGGTCTCTAATGTCTAATGTACCAAGCCAGATTTCTCTACTGAACAACATATGTTGAAGTAACCATTCCAAGTGAATTATTTGATTGAGCCAGCACTGTCATATCTCTGTAATTGTGTGGTAATTGATCATGGAGAAGCACACTAAGGCTACCTGTAACTCTAGCCCGATGCCTTGTTATTTGCAAAATGTCTATGACCCATTGTGAAAAAAAATAACGCATTTTAAATAAGCTCTGCCTAGTTAAACAAAACATACCTTTTTTGGAAAGGCATCCTCAACTATGTTCATTTTTCTGTATTCCAAAATTTATCAAACAACATTCAGTTATTTTTGCTCATAGATTTGATTTTGTTAAATGCAAAATTCTTTAGCCAAAGCTAGAAGAATGAAGAATTTCTTTTTTTTTTTACAGTTTTGAAATTGCATTTTTATTCTTACTGCTACTCAGTAAAGTTGAGGGATACATATGGTTTTTTGGTTTTTTTTGGTCAGGTAAATATGTTTATCTTTAGAGGAATACTATGAAGAAACTCATCTTAAAGTGTCTGCTTAGAAATCTTAACAGTTGAATGGCAGTTTCGACTAGAGTTTTTTAACTTAAGATCAGTTTTATAAACTCTAGATTTCTGATTCATTCTTCTAGCTTTGGCTGAATTACATTATTCTCTTTGTAAAACTAACAAACATACTGGTATCGAATTTCATGTTGGTTTTGCAAAGGGCAAAATTTGAATGTGACATAAAATGGACAAGTCACACTACAATAAACGTGAAGATTTGTCTCTATACAGTATAGGAGCCCTAGTGACACAGTGGTTAGAATGCAGTATTGCAAACTAACTCTGCCCACAGCCTGGAGTGCGATCCTGACGGGGCCCAAGGTTGACTCAGCTTTCCATCCTTCCGAGGTCGGTAAAATGAGGAGCCTGATTTTGGGGGGCAATATGCTGACATTGTAAACCACCCAGAGACTGCTGTAAAAGCACTGTGGAGTGGTATATAAGTCTAAGTGCTATTGCTATCTATAAAGCCATTTTTCAGATAATCGTGAGATCAAGAGTTAGCAAATACTGCTATCACTGTGATGCCTGTGATGGGCATAACAATAGCTTTTTTCTGTGTATTTTAGACAAGCCTTGTTTGCTGAAACTACGAGAAAGGTACATAGTTTAGTGGAAACAGATCTAAGCAGACTGCACATGGCAACGTCTCTTATGCAGATTGATGACAGCATTATGAGGTATGCAAGAAAGTAGTATTGCTAACTTTTCTACATAAATGTTTTAGCATAATCTTGATTTCTGGAAATGAAGTTTCTGCTTAATATGACTGTGCCTTAATTTCGGCCACCATTTATTGGGGGTTTATTAGAAGTTGCACCTGCTGCAGGATTATTATTATTTTTTAACTATAACTCTCAGTATGCTATAAATAGCAGTATTATATGTAAGTGGAGTTACCGGGATGAGTGGAATCATTAAGCTGTAAAGTTAAGATTCTTCTGCACTTCTGTAAATTTAGGATTTTGCTAGAAAAACGTACTATGTGTTAATTCAGGATTTATTCACTTTTGCAAATATTTTCTGATGCTTTTAAACATCTGCTTGGCGTCCAGTTTTACTAAGGCCAAGCATGTAACTGTTTTGAAAGAACCCATACAGTCCAAGTTTACTTTATCCATGGATGCTATAATATAGTAAGGCAAGCATTCAAAGGTGAGTTGTTTATGAATCATGCAGAACAAAATGTCATCATTATGATAGAACCTTATTAATCGGTTAGGCAACAGGCTTCTTTAATTGCGGAGGAAAAAGAAATCTGACTTTTAGTTAGAAGATGGTCCATTTGAGCCTTATTTTTTATAACCTTGAACCCAGATTTATTTGGCAACAAGGCAGACATTTATAGCATCTTAGGAGGAACTGGCATTCTAATCAGAATTAATTTACCTAGGCGTAGTTGATTCAACAGAAAAAAATATTTAATATATTAGGAGAGATTATCTAATTATCTGTCTATCCTTTCAAATTGGTTCTTGACTACTAGAGACTAGCTGGACAAGTTTTCTTGGCAAAGTTTTCAGAGGTTGTTTTCCTGAACTTGCTGAGGACTTTCTAGAATGACTGGTTCATATTCCTTGAGCTGATTTGAGCCTAAGAACTCATGGTTCACCCCCGTGTTTAGCCACACATAGACCCACAGGTTTACTTTCCCATCATCAGCGATTCAATTATAACTCACTAAATCTTTCTCACGCTTCTGTTTTCTTTTCTTTTTTTCCATGGTCTTAGAAAATTTCATGGTTACGGCTCCCTAAGAGAATATTATGAACAGGAGAGTTGTCTGCATTACTTGCACAGAGTGAGTTATCATAATATGTACTGATCATTGGTTGTTTTGGTTCTGTGGTTTAAAATGAAAAAAAAAAGATAGGGAGGGGCGAGAGACCATTTAAACTTGGTGGGGTAGAAGATGGAGTGCAGCTCATGCATTTAAGAAAAGATGTAGGGGTATATTTGGCCGCGGGTATAACTGCAGGTGCTCAAATAATTCTAGGAAGGATTTTATAGGGTCACCTAAAAAAGTTACATGTTTCTTGGGAAGCATACAGTGACATTCTTTATGGTAGGGTAAGGTAATGAAAATAGAAAGCAATAATGAAATTTTGGGACTGGAAATAACTTTGATTAGATGTATTCGTTTCACATCCCGATTCAAACTTCTGAATAATTCACATGAGATTGCTCAGCACAAATTCCTAACTATTTTCCGTGACCCTCATGCTGGTATACTAGGAAGTATTTGCCCCTGGAAAACATTCAATGCAATCTTTGCAAATTCTGTAATCGTTAACAGTCTTGCAGTTTATTCACATCAGGCAAGACCACAAATTGGTTTTTTTCCTATGTTCTTCCCGGATCCCTTCCCAAGGGAAAAAAGAAATATTGTGGAAGAAGATAACACCACGAGGGTATATTTGTGAATTAGTTTGGATATGATTTTGGATATAGGCCCCTCTTTTGCCCAACTTAGTTATTGTCTATGCCTAAAAGCTCTTCTTTTGTCAATTCAGGGGGTGTTTTTAATGTTTTTTAATGTTTATTATGCTGTAAGCCGCCAAAGTCATTCGAACCGAGATGGGTGGGAAATAAATTTAATAGATGAATAAATGCCATTTCAATGAACAGCAGAAGCGACTCAGAATTGTATTCTTTCCACTTCAGAAAATTCTACCAATCACACATAGGGTAGAAATCATCTCATGATGTCTTTAGATAATCTTGTAGATGACTTTAGTATAACAGTGATGGTCTAAGCGTTCTTCCTGAAGCAGTAACTAAAACGTTGGGACAAATACAGGCTGAACTTTATTCTTAATCCATGACTTAGCTTCCCCAAAAATAGCCTTGTTCTCTAAGTCAGCCCTGTTAACAGGATGTGAGTTTCTGCGTGTTCAGTTCTCCCTGAGATGTGGCACTCCCATTAGGACGTTTTGAGTAGGATGCATGTTTTTGAATGAAATAAATCAGTCAGAACCCACATCGTGCTCTTTTCTCTCTTCAGATCTTTGTTCCCCTCTTGCTAGTTAATGCTGCTGATGACCCATTGGTGCATGACAGCCTCTTATCCATCCCAAGAGCCCTCTCAGGTAAGGCCAAGCCTTGGCTCAAACTTTTCTCTCCAACCCTATTACCATGTAGAATATATACCCCAACGAATCAAGATAAGCTCCGTATTCTCCCTCTTTGGGTTCGTAATGTTCTGTAATGCCCCACAGAATACAGTCAGTCCTCGGCTTACCACCACAATTGAGCCCCAGAATGTCTGTTGCTAAGCGAGACAATCGTTAAGCGAGTTTTGCCCCAGTGAATCCTTGCAGTTATTTTTTTTTTATTAAAAATTTTATAAAAGTTTTACAATATAATTCCCCTTCTCCCCAAAACCCACCCTTCCATTCCCCCCCTCCCTCCCCCCCCACTTCCCAGAGCCAATCACAGGATTAACAATACAGTAATCATACTCTATCTAACATTAATCAACTATTAAAATAACAAATCTATAACATCCTTTAACTCTCTTTTAAACAAATATACTAATATTAAACACAATAATTATAACATCATAATCCTTGCAGTTATTAAGTTAGTAACACAGTTGTAAAGTGAGCCTTTGTTCCCCATTGACTTTGTTCGTCATAAGATAAGATAAGATAAGATAACCTTTATTGTCGTTTTTTACTGTGGGCACAACGACACACATCAAAAATGAAATTTAGTTGCCCGCTCTCAAAGTGAAACACATACATGACACACACCTAAACCTACTATATACAACATATGTATAGACCTACACCCCTACATATACATAACATGAATATTAAACACTGTCCATCTTGAATACATAACGGAAGGAGGAAGCTTGAGAGTCCACAAGGTTTAACGAAACTGTGACTGAATCTGGATGTTCTGCTTCGGTTGCAAAAGGGGATCATGTGACCCCGGGACACCACAACCGTCATAAACATGAGCCAGTGGTCAAGCATTTGAATTTTGATCACGGGAACACAGGATGCTGCGACAGTCCTAAGGGTGAAAAACGGTCCTAAGTCACTTTTTTCAGTGCCGTTGTACCTTCGAATGGTCACTAAATGAACTGTTGTTAAGTCAAGGGCTACCTGTAGGTCTTTGGGTCACACGGAAGCAGGCTGTGACTTCTTTTCACAGGAGTGAAGACGTGGGGCAAAACGTCCACGAGTTTTCCTCCCGTTACAGTTTAATTTTACGCAACCCCCATCCCGCTTTGCAGCGTAGAAAAGAGTTTATGGCCAAAAGCCCAATATGCCGGGAGGGTAGACATATCAGTGGGAGATACCAAAAGTGGATTTGATTCCTATAATTTGCTGGCTTTCCTTTTGACTGAAAACAGGTGTTGGTTTTTTGTTTTTTTTAATCAGGATATAATGACTGCTGTCTGGTATCATCTGTGGCTGCCTCTTAACTATAGATCACAGCGAAGAAAGCCGCAACAATTTGGGAAACGCACTTGGGCAAAGAAGCCCAGAAGCTAAGTGAGATTTGCATTCTAACCTCCATTTATTTTTACTCTTTCAGAGAAACAGGAAAACGTCATGTTCGTTTTACCCTTGCACGGGGGCCACCTGGGATTTTTCGAAGGCTCCGTCCTTTTCCCTGAACCCCTCACTTGGATGGATAAGCTGGTGGTGCAGTACGCAGATGCCATCTGTCAGTGGGAGAAGAATAAATTCCATTGCTCGGATACGGAACAATCCTCCGGCCAAGAATAAACCGATCCCAAAGACTTTTTTTCAGGTTGTTTCCGACTTAGTTTCCATCTTCTTCTTCTTCCTTGCTGCTTTTTTTCCCAGGCCAGGCCTGATCATCTTCAATGTAGGCATTCGACCTCAGCGTTTCAGGCCAAATAGAGCTACGACACGAAGGTGTTGCTGTTTTGAACGGTTTGGGAGCGGGCTGGCAGCCTACTCAACACAGAGAGGAACCCCCGGGGGTTACTGCCTGTAGCTTACTATAAGGTTCCGAAACTAGCGAAACACCTGAACATCTTGGAGAGTGGCAAGATGTCCCAACGCTTAACCCTTTTTTCACTGTTCAAAGAAAACAAGCAGAGCAACCACGCCTGGTTGTTTTTGCCAAACTTGCCTAGCGTGTTCCTAATGCGCGATAGAAGTGTACTTTCTTTGTGGTCGTGTTTCACCTCGTTAACCACCGCGGGCCCTGGGAAAAGGGAAATTTTACACATCTGCGAAAGACACCGATAAAAACCGTCTCCGCAGGCCATCAGGGCAGCCGTTTGCAAAGCAGGGGAGAAGGCTGGGGAATTCTGAATTTCCGGAACCTCGTCCTTCGAGCGAGGACGGGACTTCTTCGCTCTTTCTTGTGAATGCATTTCAAGGTTTTTCGGTGGCTTTGAAAACGTTCGGGAGGTCAGTCGGCCCTTAATTCCAGAATTCTGACTTGAGTGCATTCAGTCAATCGCCCTTTTTTTGCTTTTCTCACGGGGGCTTTCCACGTAGAAAGCTCTGGGACTCAATAGTAGATGCCCCTGCTCTGTTAACTACTTGATATTGAAACAAGTAGCCTTGTGATCGTTGCCTTTTCTGAAACAAGGCATTATATTTTGACATAAAAGTCGTGAGTGCTCCTAACCCAGGCCTTTTAATACTGTCTGTAAGTGAAAAACCAGTGACCATCAGTCTGTAAGTTATCTGTTGTTATTATTATTTTTTGCTTTAGAGAAATTTCATATGCGAAGGATGGAGAAAATAAAACATCCAAATTCTTTTTCACCTCCCCTCTAGCATACTAGAGCAGCGTAGTAAGATTTTGAAAGCCACAACGGTCTCGGCTTAAAGAAGTTTGTTTGTTTGTTTTTTATTAAATGTACTGTATGCCTTAACTATTAGTGGCTTCTGCAATTCCCTGAGTCCAAAGGTGCTTGTTAAAACTTTCAGCCCAGTGACATCAAATGAGATTGGCAACTTGGGGCGAGATGCAATAATGCAGATAAAGTGGAGAAACAGGACTTTTTGCTGATGTAGAATAGAGAAACAGATTTTTGTACTGAGCAAGTTTCCAATCTGAAAGTGGAAAAAAAAAAGACACATCTTTATTTGTACACGCACCCATTCGTTCATTCTGAAGTCTGGATTACTTAAGACAGGGCAACTTTGCAGTTAGACTAGTTTTCAACTGCAGTTCTGTTTTGAACTGTCGGTTTGGTGTTCCTTCCTTAGGCATATTTCAGTTTACATTTGAACAGTCATTCCCCTGAATTATAGTCCCTATAATAGTTAGCACTTTATTGCTTCTACCTTTTACTTTGCTGCCTAGACACTTTAATTATAGCAGGCACTTGTGTTGTTGTTTTTTTAAACTGTTGGGAAGTCTTTCTTGAAAATAAATGTATGGGGATTCTTCCCAGTTCGTTTGGAGATTCCAAAAAGTGTAACTTATGTTTTTCAGGATTTCTTTTTTATTTTTTTGTTTTTAAAAATTGAGCAATAATTGCCAGTAGCAAAGGTGCATTTCTCACATCAGAAGTCAAACTGCTCCATCGTCAGAGCACTCTTGACCTGTTCAACAAACTCTGTGACCTAAGCAGAGTAAATGAATTCAAATTCTATTTTGTTCTTACATAGGAAGGATCGATCACTCGTTAAAAATTTAAGTTTCTTCCCCCCTCCAACCTCATGTAGTCTTATTTTGCTTTTTTGCCATTTCTTTCTATTTTCCTGGAAACCAAATCCAAGATAAGCATATGATTTTAGCTGCAGAACAACATTTTAATAATCTCAACAACAAAAAAAAACCTAGTTGTTTCAATTGTTTTCTTTGCTGCAATATATAAAATAGGAATGAACATGACTTATTTTTCCTCAGCTGAACAATGTATTAAAAAGCAGGCAATAAGAATCTTAACACTATTTCTCATCATTTCTGTCTTCAGGATAATAACCTTATTGTGTTTTGTATTTAAAATAAATGTAATAAAACTAGCATTTCCTAATCTGGTGATCTCCCGTCAATTCCTGATATCTTTGCCTTAATGGCTGGGAATAATATATTTCAACAACTCTGAAGGAACATCAGTTAATAAAATAATGGCTGTGAATTAAAATGATAAAATTCCTTGTAAGTAAAGGCACTTAACTAGACTTTCTGCTGAAAGGACTGTGAGGATAGAGTTTGCCTTTATTTTTCTTTTTATAACCAGTTGCAGATTTTGTGTACAATAAGACAAGGAATTTAATCCTTCCTTGTTTAAAGTTTGGAAATGGGGTTGCAAGGTTGTGCAGTTGTATAACGTAGCAATTTCCAATGAGGATTGCTTTTGTGACTTCCAATTCATTTAGAACTATTCAAACCCTTGGAAAATAATTTTTGCTTGCTCCATACTGTAAATGTAATAAGACTCTTGTATGTCCCAGCTGTTATCAGGAAAAATCAGAACTTTTCAGCAAGTCAGACGTCAAAGGAATGTCTTTTAAGTCACAAATTTGATCTTTTCTGCTGCATCAATGAAAAAAACCCATGTCAGATCGTGGTAAATTCAATTCTAAGTCCCTCTCCCTTCCCCCCCCCCCAAAAAAAAAAAATTCTGTAAGGAAAAGACTGGAATGATGAGAAATTGACCAACAAAAGATAGTTGCTAATTCATATACCTTTCATGGCACTAAACCTCTTTTTTATTTTAGTGAAACAGAATATTGCTTGAAAGTTTTTGGAAACGGATCAGGTTTTTCCACCATTTATCTTAAACTCAGTTAAAAGAAAACCTCTGGACCAAGATCTTTTTAAAGAGATTTTCTTTGCTTTCCATGTTTGGAATTTGATGGATTGTTCCTCTGGAGACTTTTTTGGCATACTGGAGACATTACTGCTCATACCTTTTGTGGCGAGCGCGTCATACTCCCCTTTTTAATGAAGGCGGGGTTGGGAATGGCATCAGGCCATTCTTGATAAGCTGTTGCAGCCAAACGGTCCATCCTGTGTCACCTTTGTCAGTTGACTAAAAGATCGAAGCCGAATCTTTCCTGGCGATCTCTGTGCCAGAATTAATGTCTTGGCAGCTTTGTCTTTGCATTAAAGATAGTTAGTTCTCTGTGGGTCAAACGTGCATTTCCCAAATATATGCTAGTTTTACAAGGGTTCCGTAGGTCTACATGTAAAAAAAGGAAATAGCCAACTAATAGACTGCATTTCACCTTCCATCCCTTTTCCATTTCATTCTCCTCCCCTCAAGAACAATTGCTGACATTCAGCCATATTATCTCTGCCGTCTTTAAAATACGTACTGTAACATTGGTGCATTAATTCTTTGATAGCTTCCCCCGTAGGTCTGTTTTTTAAACAGGGGTGAGAATTGTAGCCCTGTCCTCTAGTGATGGCATTGCTAGGCCCCTAGCAGATAGATCAGTGCCTGACTCTGTCATTCTTGACTGCAGAAACACGACCTATTTCTGATCTAAAGGAATATGTGACCAGGTCACACAGTCACCCAATATTAATCTCAGTAATGTGCTAGTCCCGGATCCCTGCTTGATGTGCATACATGTGTTAATTTTTTTTAAAAAATGGAAAAATTGTTTAAAAATCTCATGCATAGAGAGAGACCAAAGCACGAGACATTTTTTTTTGCTTAGATTGCACTGTTAGAACGATGTGAGCTCAAGTTATTGTTCCCTTCTTTTAGATGTGTAGAACAGAGCTTCCAGTCCCTGGATGGGATTTTTATCATAGGAAAATACCTCAACGAGAGAAGCTTGACTTTAAATCGGAATAAAATGGCCTGGCAGTAGTAGTGATAATCAAAAAGAAGATTTAAGGGGTCCATATCACATTCTTCCCCCCCTTTCTATTTCTTTCGCATATGTTAAAGTGATGGTCTTAATAGCAAACCTGGTTCACTTCCTGCAGATTCTCTTAATCAGAGCAAAAAGCAGCTTGGCTGCTGGTTAGAACAACTGGAGAGGGGAGAATTAAAGGATTCTCGCCCAATGTTGTGCTGGTATCGGAGTCCTTCGCTTTTTGTTCTTTGCAAACCACCTTTGTGCTCTATGTGTTAAAGTCTTTTTTTTTTCTCTCTCCTTGAAGTGTCCTTGATGAGATTCATAAAAACAAATCAACTGGGGAGCTGGGGGAAGAATCTCCTTTGAGAACTATGTGTATTCCATTTTAAATGTTCTTTTTTTCTTTCTGCTGGCTTCATTAAAGGGCACAAGCGTAAATGGGCAGCATTTGGCTAAGCTGGAACAGAGAATTGCCATTCCCCTTCCTTTCTCTCTTTTGTCTACCAGAGGATATGTATTTTTATTTCCTTTCAGATCCTCAGGTTCTGGGACCACCGAAGTCCCAGCAGCTTTGCTGATTCCAGTCTTAGTGGAACACGGCCTTTTTTTTTCTTTTTTCCCCCCTCAGGATTCCTGAAATGTGGGCAAAAATCTTGTATTTGACGGCGTGGTGTTTATTTGGCTTTTGTTTTGATGTTGTATCCAGTAACATCTGGGTTTGTGCAAACAATCCTGCCATTATCCAGAGAGGTCCAGTTTCATATCACGAGTAGAAAGTCATAACATTGCCTGGAACAAATGAGAAATTAACCCACTAATTGGTCGTACCCATCCTTTACTTTATCGCCTTCCAAGCTGACGTCATTCCAGCTGTTTAGAATGGGTTGCATTTCATAGCAAAGCCATGTATAGGCATTTTGGGAAGTCTTTCTCCTGATTTAAAAAAAGCACAATTTTTAAAGAGGGGGATTTCTTGATTTATTACACTCTTTTGTTTTTCCTTCTTTTCGTCTTGAACATGTCCTAATAAATAGAGGGACCCAACACCTCAGGAAGCTAGACGTGTGTACCTGTGCTCTTTTTCATTTGTGTCACTGCAGCTGCCTTATTTGGAGTAAGTTGAGCATTTTTTACCTTTTTTTTTTTTTTAAGGCTGTTGGACTTCAATTCTACTTTATTTTATTGGCAATTTTGGATTCCAAGACCAGTTTTGGGAACCCTTACTTCCACAATCCCAAATTCCTTTACAAATAAAAAAATGCTGCCCTGGGGAATTTGTGTATGTGTGTGATCCTTGCTACCGGTTCGTTGTGGGACCGGCGGTCTGCAGGATGAAGTTTTTGCAACTAGCAATGCAATTTTTTTCTAAATCTGCTAATCTTTCCAGTTTAGAAAAGTGTGTCCTTGATATATTTCTTTTGGTTTTTGTTCTGTGTGTGTGATCAATCAAGGCTATTGCAGAACAGTAATTTTGTTATTTGATTCAATGGAATTTCTTTGCTTAGAAAAAAAAAAATAAAGACCTTAACTGAGTTCGCAATGAGGATTGTGTCTCATTATTTCTCTTTACTTGGATAGGAATAAGTGGACTTGGAATTTAGATTTCCTGTATGCCTTATTTTTCCCCAGAGGTCAAACTACCAAAAACAAACAAATGCAGAATTGTTATTGGGTGGCAGAACCAAATGCATTGGTGTTATTTCAGGTAGAGACACCTAATTTCTGCAAATAATCACTCTCTGTTAAGTATGCATATGGAACGAACAAATTTTAACCTGAAATAGTTTATTGTTTATTGTGTCTGCAATTAGAATACCATAAACCTCTGGTAAGTGGTAACCAACGGATGCTCCCATTTTAAGGGTGACAAATGTTGAATGTTTAGAGGGATGATCTTGAAGATAGATATTTTGCCATTTTACGTATTTAATTTAGCTTGCCATTTATAATCGATTGAAAACGTTGCAGTGTAATTCAACTTTTTGTATGTTTCCAGTTTAGGAAGCGTGAAGTGAAATAAGATAGCACAACACCTATTGCCGATAGTTCCTGTGTCAGATTTCTGATAAAATCAGCCAAGAACTTACAAACAGATTAAGGGGGGTTTTTTTTGGTATTAGTGGCTAACATGCTATCCATCTATCTAACCCACTAACCAAAAAACACAGCCTGGCCTGTAATTCATCTTCTCTAGGATCATATTGAGGATATGAGCAGGGAAGACAAATAAGAGGCCAGATTCATGCATCATGCATCAGGACTGCCAGTAATATAAGCTTATTTTGGCTCAGTGTTTAGACAAGCCCAGGACTAATAGTAAGAACCAAGGGCTAGAGTTACATGTTGTGATAAAGGGACAAATCCAGCATGGGCATCCTGGGACTTGGCAGTTCTCAAAATACGTTCAGCAACCATCGACGCTTCCATCAAATTAAGGTGATCTTATAAAAAGTATTTTTGAAGCGGATGAAGTCTTTAAGAGGCCGCAAAGTCCCACGATTATTCTTAGCCGAGACTTTTGCCACCTTTTCAGGAGCAGGATATTAGAATCTTGGAGAGATTTCAAGCGGGCATGAGATGATGGTCATTCCAGGGAAGAAAAATGCACAGACGGTTCTGAAAAAGTTGCAAGATGAGGCTTGACTTATGTAAGCAGGAATTTTTTCAGCTATATGTGAAGAAGTAGAAAACAGAGCCTGGGACACCACCCCCCCCATACGCAAAGTCAGGGCTCTGCCTTTGAGGTACGGCTCTCCCCCTGGGATAAGCTGAAACCCCACAAAGTAAGCAAAAGAAGACAAAAATACATCTGTCTCTGATCTGATTCTGATCTGACTTGCCCTGCTTAATTGCTTAAAGCAAATTGGCCTCTCTTGTAAAGCACAGAACACACAAACAATCCTTGTGATTGGCGCATTTAGTTTACTAAAGCAACTTTAAGCCAAAGTATGCACGCTATTGGAACCATTTCTGTTGGCTACAAAACTCATATTTATGCTGACAAATACTGGAAAAAATACCTCAGCTGGCCTGTAGGTTTCTGCAGTGACTTCCTATTCTATTCCAGAGGTTCCTCCCCCCCTCCACACAACGTAGAACCATCTTCCGAAGCCCACTAGCGATGTCCTAAAATACACAACTGTGAGTGAAGACAAATTTTTCCAGTGCCCCAATCCTAATAAGGCCAGTTTTAAAGTGGTCCATTGCACACCAGCGGTTGGGCTCAAAGTGAACCAAACCAGCCATAGTGCCTTCTTTGTAGATCCCCAACGTCTCCTCACTGGGGAAGGCTGTTTCTGGAGAAGTGTGTGTGTTTGTGTGTGAGGGGGCTCTGCCTTTGGTGACTGAGAGGGTGAAAATGAGGAATGAAAGAGACAGAAGCGGAGCTTATAATCACAATCGGTATGGTACCATCAATCCAGGTAATCCTCAACTTACGGACATTCATTTAGCAATCATTTGAAGTTACCACCACACTGACCATGCCTCACACTCGTGACCGCTACAGCAATCCCCACGGTCACACAATCAAAATTTGTGCAACTGGCTGTATTTATAATGGGTTTGCAACATTCTGGTGTCACGGGATCATCCTGTGTGACCTTCCCAGACAGCTTCTGACCGGTCAGTGAGAGAAAGCAGATTCGCTTTACAACTCTGTGATTCACTTAACGGCAAGAAAAAAAAAGTTTATAAAATCAGTTACGGCTCACTCAAATAACCCGCCTGGCTTAGCAGTGGAAATTTTGGTCCTAATTGTGGTTATACGTCGAGAACTATCTGCACTGCGTTTCCAAGAAAAGCTGAGGCTGATCTTCCACCTCAGGCGTCCAGTTTTAGAGCGTTGTGTCTTCGGTGTCCGTCCAGATCCCAAAAAGCTTCTCGGCGACCATCTTGCCATCGTATCTGGGCAGGTTGCCTCCAAAATTAGCTGGCAATATATCAGCATCGATCTCTTGAAAGAAGGTGTCAAGTTCGTCCCCGTGCACAAAGACCTGAATATGGAAGGAAATGGGCAAGACATGAGCCAAAGACGGCGGCAGGAATTCGTTCTGGAGCTGCTTATCCTGCTATTTTTTAAAACCTGATTTAAGTTTAACATCTAACCCAGTGATGGTGAACCTTTTAGAGACCGAGTGCCCAAAAACTGCCCCCCGTCCCCGCTCTGCCCTGCCCACTGGGCCACCCACCACCTCCACGGCCCGCCACAGATCACCCAGGCAGCCCAGCAGCATCATGGCGACCACGCCCTCCGCCCGTGCCCCGCAGCATCATCTGCATGCAACGGGGCGCAAGGGTGGAGTCTTGTCCCCGCTGCCTGGCTACCATGTCCTTGGCTGCGCTGCTTCGTGTGGGCCATGCCCAGGGGCGACTCTCTGGGGGGGCTGCTGGTGAGGAGGGGGGCGTGGGAGGAGGCGGGGCTGGGGAGATGGTGTGTGCGCCCACAGAGAGGACTCTGAGTGCCACCTCTGGCACCCGTGCCATAGGTTCGCCACCACTGGTCTAACCTATCAAAGAGAAGGATTAAGGGGGACATGTCTCCCAGTACTGGAAGGGCTGTCACAGAGAAGAGGGGATTGACTTGTTCTCCAAAGCACCGGAGGGCAGGATAAGAAGTAATGGATGGAAACTATCTGTACCATGGTGCAGTCTTTGATGGTACAACTCACCCTTTCCAGGAGCTTGTTCTTCAGGAAGGGTTTGACAACGTTGTAGGTAGTGGTAAAATACCAAGGCTGGTGAATGAAATGGATCGCCTTGAATCGAGCTGGAAAGGAATCCTGGGAATTCCAAAGATAAGGGTGAAAGCCAGAAAAATGGACGGTGTCTTAAGCAAGATCACATCTATCCAGAAACCTAGATTTCTTCTGAGCCCTGTTCACACAAGACCTCTTCCACTAAACTAATCAAATGTCCCTTTTGATTTTTCTGGCAGTGCACAATCTAAGCAACTGGGTCAAAAAGGAACAATTTGTGACTAGGAAGTCATCTCCACCCCCTCATGTCCATTTTTAGCTGGAAGAAGTATTATATTTTGTAAGAAAGTCCCGGCAAGGCTAAGGCTACCAGCAATAGCAGTAGAACTTAAGACTTATATACCACTTCACAGTGCTTTACAGCCTTCTCTAAGCAGTTTACAGAGTCAGCATGTTGCCCCGCAAAAATCTGGGTCCTCATTTTACCGACCTCGGAAGGATGGAAGGCTGAGTCAATCTTGAGTCGGTCAGGATCGAACTGCTGGCAGTGGGCAGAGTTTACCTGCAATACTGCATTCTAACCACGGTTCTTCTCTAGACGGCAGCAACATCTCTCTCCTACCATCTAAACGTTCACTAGTCTTCTTCAGTCTGATCTATGGTTTGGCCACTGTAAGGAAGTGTTTGCTACCCAATCTTAATGTTTGCTACCCAATATTAATAGAGAGTTCTATTAATATTTATATTTATTTATCAAATTTATTTGCCACCCGTCTCACGGTTCGGGCATGGAAGGACTTTGGAAGACGAGGTGGACCAAATAGATTAGCTCAGATTTAGCTATTTTCTTAACCTAATTGATGGGGTGGAATTATTAACTGGGTCTTTACAGCTAAATCTAACCTTGGGGTTTGCTGACTGCAGCCATTAATCAAGAGCACAAAAGGGCAAACTAAACAATGCAGCCGGAGTCTTGGTTAAAGCAAAACATCTCTACAAAAATCTGCAGACTCCTGTTATTTACACACAGGCAAGGGGGGATGGCTGAGCTATTGTGAGTCCTGCCTCAGGGGATTTCATAGTGCCTTTCTTTAGATGGCAGAAAATATTGCAGAAGTCCGCTGTGACTTCAACATGTTGCTGCATTGGAGATCTTTTTCTGCTGAAGTGTCCCACTGAAGGGACATATTCCTTGTGTATCCAATCACATTTGGCCAATAAAGAATTCTATCTATCACTGGAACGGTGTCTCCAAATCCTTCCCTATGGCTCCATTGCGCACTGCTACCCCACAGCTTGCCCAAATATTCTAGCATGATTATCTTATTTAGGGCAATTTCATGATGTTTGGTCTTTGCAACTTGCCAAGGCAAGTAGATAAAGCTCACCTGTAGCATGTCCACCATTTTTTTCAGTTCCGAAGGCTTGATGCCGTAGGCTTGCTGCATGGTGAATCCCTTGAAGTTTTCAACGATACAGAAGCCATTGATTTGAGTTTCCTCATTCTCCAGCAGCTTCTCCAAGATCACGCAGTAAGCACGGAGGATCTGTAGTAAAACCATCGGAGAGTAGCAACTCATGCTCCAACACATTCACAGATCTTCCTGCATTGGCTTTGAAACAACAGCCATACAACTTTTCATTGGCTCTGCTACTGATAAAGTACCAAAGTAGTAATCGTCATCAAAGAGGATAGGATCAGATCTGTGGGGTTATTCTGGATGGTGTAGCTCTATGTAACCCTGACTAGAGCATGTAGATCTGTATGTAAGAATGTTTGGCATTTATTGGGTTAAGTGCTGTCTCCTTAAGAGATGGCTTATGGGTAATGTAGTTTTAGCTAGTCAGCTATATCATGTTAGTAGGTTAGTGGGAGGAGTTTCTAAAGGGCATTGCAGGACTTCCTGGACACGAGCCAGTTTGGAATGTCTTTGTCTGAGATAAGCATGGGGCCATCGGATGTCAGATGGCTCCGTTCCACGTTGGAAGTTGGTATGGAAAAAGCATTAATTTCTCACCTATAAGAATGAACAGATGTGTAATATCTAGAAGCAATCACCATAACTGCAAGTATCTCTGAATAAAATATATCTGTTTTAAAATCATCTTTATTGAGTTTATCTGTCTGACCTGGATTTACAAAGCAACTTAACTCTGGGTCAGAACAGGGGTCCTCGGTGCTCTCCGAGCTTGGTTGTTTTCCTGCAGACATTTCAAGTACCAAACTAGGTAATACTATCAGCACTGATGATGTTACGTAGTTTGGTAATGAAATGTCTGCAAGAAAACAACCAAGCTCGGAGAGCACCAAGGACCCCACAGTTCAACCCCTGAGCTACAAATATTAGGATTGGGTTTATACATCATGCAAAGACATAGTGGGACTTGTTTGATTTTTCACAAACCATGGCTCCTAGCCGAGCACAACGTGCGATTCTCCCCAGCCAAATCTGTTTTCTTCAGCAAACCAACATTAAAACGAACTGTGGATTAGTGTGTTGTGCAGACTATTCTGTCGTTAGAATCACTTGACTTCCCAATACTGTGGGCTGCTTTTCCTGATCGAATGGAGGATAAAGTCAGCGGTGGCAAGTTTTGATGGTTATACGTGGGATGGATTTCCTTCATCAAAGTAACCATGTTTGGTTTTTATGAAGTTTTAGCAGGCCACAGTTAACTGAGTTATTATACTACACTAATCCACGAATTGGGGTTTCCAAAGCACAGGTTGTTCAGGTCATCTAATACTGAGCCCTAAATCAAAGCTATTGGATATGGGCTGCAAAACTCCAAAAGACTGTGAGACGACAGCAAAAAGATGCAGAACACATTAACTCTGTTTGAGATTCCTTCAGATGTTTCCAGCCTGGATGTGGTACTTCTACAAAAATAAGCAAACCACAGAGTAGTGCAGTGTGTGAACCCAGCTCCTTAATTCTATCAGCGTCCTAGTACAGTTCTGAATACCAAACACTGATGAATTGATTTTACTTGTTCTGCTTCTGGGTTTCCTTCCAGAGGGAGTTGATTTCTGACTGGCTGCAGATAGATATGCCTGACTGGGCTAGATGTGACTTTGATCTGATCCAGTAGAGAGGTTCATGCCTGTCAAAACTGACAAGACATCACGTGGCTTATTCCAAACACAGTAATTTCATTCAGTGTTCCCTAAGACAGTCTCCTGTCTCTTGGCTGATGTGAATTTTCTGCTCCACGTTACAGAAGGTCTCTCTAAGTAAATGAACTTAACACAGTAATCCCCACCTAAGAGGAAAGATCATGGAAGTTCTTCCATTACACAGCAGACCAGCGGCATGCCATCTCCCTTCTCTGCAGTTTGCACCCAGATGTTTTCCGTTCCAGATGTTGCCTTGCCAAAGATGAGAAATATTGGCCATTGCTGTTGAGCAACATTTGGAGGACCACAGTGCTTTCCTTGCTTTAGGGGGAGCAAGGACAAGTTGATAAGAAAAAAATGTCATACATGAAATTTTCTGACAGAACAATTAACCAGTGGAACAACCTGCCTCTAGAAGCTGTGAATGCTCCAACACTGGAAGTTTTTAAGAAGAGACTGGACAGCCATTTGTCTGACAGGGGGTTGAACTAGATGACCTCCAAGGTCCCTTCCAACATTATTATTATTATTATTATTATTATTATTATTATTATTATTGATGATGATGATATTATTGATATTATTATTTGTACAAACATGAAAAAATGTTTACATTTAACCATTTATGCACTGAAAATATTAAGAATGATATTTGTTTTAGGTTGAAGAAGGAGAATACTATTGGGAGAAGGGAAGATCAAAGAAATCTACTATTAATTAATACATTAATTATGGAATTACAAAAAGTAACTATTATTGACTGTTAATTCATTACTATTGACTGCTTTTTCAAAATATATGAACCAAGACAACACGCTGTACACTAGGCACTAAGGATTGGTATTGTAAAAAAATTAATAAAATATTTAAAAAAAAGACTTAGAAAAAAACTTTAAAAGATGAACCGCCTTTACCGAACAATACCAACCTCATCAAATGTGATTTCTTCATAATCCCAGTTCTCTATGTTGAACAGCAGCACCACCCGACCGTATTTATCCCTGTTGCACAAGATGCCAGGGTAGCCAGCCTCGATGGTACTCCGTACGGCCTCGGGGACCAGGTTTTCAAAGAGTTCTGGATACTGCTGGCGGAAGTTGACGTAACCTGGAGTTAGGGATAGAGGCTCTAACAGTGCCACATTAGAGATGCTAAATGAATGAATGGCTCAATAATCAAAATTAAAACTCAACATTTCCAAAACGGAAGTGGTGACAGAGGCAGGTGGCTTTGTCCAGTGAGAGCTGCGTGCTTTCAACAACAAGTTCGTCAACTCCGATCAACAGCTCAGTAAACTCAACACTGTTGTTGTGATACAGAAGTCACCCATTTTAATTTGAAGGAAGCCAAGGGCAGAACGATATTTTTTTTAAAATTCATAACCCTGGAGGCGTAAAAATGAAACTTTACACACGTGGACTTGAGCGTGAATAGAAGACCCTCTTTGAACAACAGACATGCTTATCCAGATCCGTTTGGGTAGATATTTCAATGGATATTCACAGGGCAAACAGACCCTCTCTGCAGACTCTCCATCTCAGAAATCTGAAACCCATTACTTCAGAGGTCCCCAATCTTTTGGGCACCAGGGACCGGTTCCGTGGAGAAAGGTTTTTCCACGGACCGGAGGGTGTGTGGTTTTGTGTGCTGCCTGCATCCTGCAAATGGGGCTTTGCTTGATTGTGCGGACTGGTTGCTAGCATGCCACGGCCCGGTACTGGTCCACAGACCGGGCGTTGGGAACCCCTGAATTAGCTGGCAAGTAGATAAACCGTACTGTAATGGCATCTATTACTAGTGGCAGTAGTGGAGCTATTATACTGGAGGCTTTTAAAAAGAGACTGGGCAGCCACTTGTCTGAAACGATATAGGGTGTCTTGCTTGATCCGGGGGTTGGACTAGAAGACCTCCAAGGTCCCTTCCAACTCTATTGTCCTATTATTATTCTATTCCCTTCTGTTCTATTCTGCTCTGATAGTGCTACTACCCGCAATTTGAGTAATATAACTCATCCCAGCCAACCAAACAAGCCCAGCATCTTAACCACTGACCCATCACGCCACCCAAGCTGTGAGATGGACATCTGTAAAAAATCATTGCAACCAGTAAATAAATACATTTCAAACCACCCACCCCCCCCAACCAGTGATATTTATGGATCTACATGTCTGCAGGGAAGGGTCCAGTGGAAGACTCCCCACCTTTAACCAAATCGTAAGCTCTGTTGATATCAAACTTGCGGGCACGTAAGAAACGGAGGAGAAAAGCATCTTCCTTCCCCTGCATTTTCTCAGCCACTGCTTTGCAAATGTGTTCTCCATCTTTAGCTTTCTCTTGGATAAGTTCGTGAAGCTCTTTCACGGCTAACTCACGTTTCTCTAGCGTCTCGTTCAATTCATCTTTAGCCTAGGGACAAGAGGCAAAGATAATGTGACAGGTAGGCAGTGAGTTGGGGGATCATACTGGAATCTCAAGAAACTGGACTTTCTTGTTTTTCTTTTGAAGACTCAGGTGACCCTAAGGACGCAGGTAAACCTCCAAGTGGCCTCAACGGCTCTCAGGAAGAAGGCAAATGACCAGCTGTCTGCAAGGAACATTAATCCTTCCATTCCCCACCATCCAGTCAGAGCTGAGGAAGCTTCTTGGATGAGAAGCGAAACGTCTCCCAAGAAAAAAAAATAAGAAAGTCCAGTTGCCTCCTGAAAAAACACCTTTGGGACAGTGTCAGAGTCCTTCCTAAAGTGGAAACCAAATTGTTAACTGTTATTTATATGTAGCAAGGAACATTTTTAAGCACGTGGGGAATTACCCTTTAAACTAATGGTTCCTCTTCCATACCAAGAGTGGTTGTGAATCAAACCGACATTTTGAACTAGACTGAACTGACATCCGAGTAGTCAACTATTGACTATTGTAAGTTGGAGTGGGAGCTTATAATACAGCACTGTAGTTAACGCTGCCCTGTTTTTTGGAGTTTGGTGCCATCCAGTGGCTGATAGTAATTATACTTCTCTCTATCACCCAGGCTTGGCTTAGCCTTAACAGGATTTTAGTATTAGGTGGTCATAGCTGTGAAGTAAAAGGTTGCAGCTCTTAAGCTGAATAAGATGATCAATGTTAGGTAGCTGAGCATAGATTAATCCAGGGGTCTTCAAACTTGGCCCTTTTATGACTTGTGGGCTTCAATTGCCAGAATTCCTCAGCCAGGCACAATTCTGGGAGTTGAAGTCCACAAGTCATAAAAGGGCCAGGTTTGAAGACCCCTGGATTAAAAGGTCTGAGTGACATGCAAAATAGCACAAGGAACTTGCAGCCAGATATATTTTACAGTCCTCCCTAAAGCAGATCCTCCAATCAGGATAAAATGGGTGGCGAGGCTAGCCGGCCAACGGATCTGTGCTAAATGTTTTTCTTGGCCATCTTCTACATCTGGTTCCTGCTTCCGTCGTTCTTCCCCCATTTTGCACGATGCTCACCTTCTGCAAGGTGTGTGCTGGGATCTTCTCATGCTTCCCAAACACAGGACCGTGGTCGCTGGTGGTCAGTCGCTCGAGTTTAGTACGCAAAGCCTGCTCCTCTTCCGAAAGAGGCCTGAAGGTGCCCGTCTGGGAGTGAAATTCCAAGATGAAGGTCAGGCAAACCTCAGGCAACAGTTTAAAGTAGAATAGAATAGAATAGAATAGAATAGAATAGAATAGAATAGAATAGAATAGAATAGAATAGAATAAGGAATAGAATTCGGAATAGAATTCGGAATAGAATTCAATAGAATAGAATAGAATAGAATAGAATAGAATAGAATAGAATAGAATAGAATAGAATAGAATAAGGAATAGAATTCGGAATAGAATTCAATAGAATAGAATAGAATAGAATAGAATAGAATAGAATAGAATGGAATGGAATGGAATGGAATGGAATAGAATAGAATAAGGAATAGAATAAGGAATAGAATAAGGAATAGAATTCAATAGAATAGAATAGAATAGAATAGAATAGAATAGAATAGAATAGAATAGAATTCAATAGAATAGAAATAGAATAGAATAGAATAGAATAGAATAGAATAAGGAATAGAATAAGGAATAGAATTCGGAATAGAATAGAATAGAATTCGGAATAGAATTCAATAGAATAGAAATAGAAATAGAATAGAATAGAAATAGAATAGAATAAGGAATAGAATAGAATAGAATAGAATAGAATAGAATATCTTTATTGTCATTGTGTAACTCACAACGAAATTAAGTGCTGTCCACAGTGCACACTACACACTCCAATCACAAAAATCACAAATAAGAACATAAGTTATATACACACATCCTTCACAGTCTATTCACCATTGCGCTGCCCCTAATATCACACTTCAGTGTTGCACTATACAGTGGTATTTAATATGGTTACAGCTCTGGGATAAAAACTATTTTTCAGCCTATTTGTCTTTGTTTTTATTAACCTGTACCTCCTGCCAGATGGTAATAGTTCAGAAAAAGAATGTCCGGGATGGGATGAGTCTTTAAGAATATTTTGAGCTTTCCTAAGACAACGGGAACTGTACAGTTCGTCCAGGGGGTGGGGGGTGGGGGAGGAGAGGGCAGCCAATAATCCTCTGGAGTCATCTGGGATGCAAAGTTTGAACCTGGCATCTTTCCCAACAGTTATCCCCAGTGAGAACTTGAGCACAGGAACAAAGGAAGGGGTTAAAACTCACCATGGCTGTCATCTTTGCACTCCAGTCTAGCCCCTGGAAGAAAGAAAAGGAGACAGAAAAACATAGGGGAACCCTGTTAAGCAGGCAAACCTGGTTTGTCTAATAAGGTTTGTCTAATAATGACTGAATGGATTAACCACACTTAACTGGACTAACAGAATAACAGAGTTGGAAGAGACTTTGGACGTCTTCTATTCAGTGGTGGGATTCGGCCAGTTCGCACCAGTTCGGCAGAACCGGTAGCTAATTTGTTGTTGCCCAGGCCCAGAACGGACTTCCGAAAGTGGCATCCACACAGAGAACCGGTTGTTCACATATTTGAATCCCACCACTGCTTCTAGTCCAACCCTCGGCTCAAGCAGAACACCCTATACCCTTCTGAACAAATGGCTGTCCAGTCTCTTCTTAAAAACCTCCAGTGATGGAGTACCCACCACTTCTGGAGGCAAGCAGTTCCACTGGTTAATTGTTCTCAGTAGCAGGAAATTTCTCCATAGTGCTTAGTACTAACATTGCATGCTCACCAAGCAAACAGCGTTACAGCAATGCAATATCTGAACCCATTCATAACAGCAGTAGCACCTAGATGTATATACCGCTCCATAGTGCTTTACAGCTGCCTCTAAGTGGTTTACAGAGTCAGCATCTTGGCCCCAACAACCTTGGAAGGATGGAAGGCTGAGTCAACCTCGAGCCGGTCAAAACCAATCAAGGTGCATTGTATCTCATGCAATATGCAAATCCAGTCACCTGCAGCATAATTACACATCGCTAACTATGCCAGCCTCCTTCATTAGGGACAAAACCACAGTCTTGTGCCATCTGGCAAGCTTTTGAAATGGGCAGAGGCTCAGGGTGGCTTCTCCAAGCCTTTTGCCCATAAAACTTTAAACCAAGCTGGAAAAATACCACCGATTCTTCAGTCTACAATGAAGCCAATCTCATTAAGATGGTGCCACACTTCTAAGGAAGCCTACATTGGACTCGGCTGGTTAGATTCATTCTTGGGATGGAGCAAATGCTTTGAATGCAGAAGCAGCTGGATTTACCGCCTTGAAAACAAACCGAGATACACCCATGGAGAAGATTTTTACCGTGGATATTATTCAACCAGTAGACAGGCTTAACTCAATAGAAACCGTACACAATGACTGGAACTCCTGCATGGTTTTTCACTGGAATATAGACAATCTACCCTTGGGCTCCATCACCTCTCCTATTCTTTTTTTTTTTTTTAAGCTTCAGGAAAGCTGTGGCATCTTTGGTTGGAGAAACAGAATTCTGTCTACCTTGCAAAACTTCAATAAGTAAAATACTCACAAAGGATGCCAAGATACTGGAGGAAGATCTCTGTGGGAAATCCTGAAACCAAGAGTGAGGAACGTTTACACAGGCAGACTGCAGGGAAGCCAGTGGGACTGGAGAGAATCAACGAAAACTCCTGACAAACATCCTGCTAGCAACGCTGGGTTGGGATTAGGCCGTCCCGGGGCATTGCTCAGGAGAGAGCTGCATAATGAGGTCAACCCAAACCAGGGAAGGGATTCCCATGGAAGAAAAGTACAAAAAGCCAAAGGAGAGGGATGGAACAAAGACAGAGCAGCGGCCAAGGAGATTTGGCTCAGCGAAATGCACAACAAGGGACGTTGATGGGATTCTGGGACCGATTAACCGTGTATAAAAGCCTCTTATTGTATAAGTGGGCCAGACTCATTAGCGTAACTTGGAGGGAGAAGGAAGGATTCGTGAGAACGTTGACAGCGAGATAAAAGGCAGAGACAGCAACTCCGTGAAGGAGGAAGAGCAACTTCATGGCGAATCAGACATTTTTCATACGTGAGGTCCATATTCTCTTCCTGCCATGTCCGTGGGCGTATTTGTGTGTCTGTATCCTCTGCCAGCATGGGGATGCAGGTTCTCTCTATATCCATGGCAATTAAATCCATCACTGCTTCTTTCCACCGTTCCTTTGCTGAAGCAGGCTCTTTGCTTCATGCTTTAAGGTTCTGCAGTTGAGTGTCTGCTGACATAACTGACTTCCCTGCCCTGAGAACCGATGGCTCCCAGCGTATGTCTCACACTTTGGTTGATGTCTCGGTGTGTGATCTAGCCAGACCTTCCATACCAATTATGAGCGACTGCCCTCTCCTTCGACTTGAGCCCTTCCTAGAAGCATCTGGTGGGATCTGGAACACGATTCCCTTTCCTTGATCCAGGAGGATTCTTCTTAAGTCCTCGTGTATTCGTCAGTCCATTCTCTTCACGTAGTACGGGGCAGACACCAAAGGACTGCAGTTAGTCCTCGACTGTACGAGGTTCAAAGTTATGACAACCTTGGAAAAGTGACTTATGAACCATGCTTGCAGCTGTGACCGTTGTACCACTGTCACGTGATCGCAATGCAGGTGCTTGGTAACTGGTTCACATTTACGACAGTTGCGGTGTCTTGTGAACAAGTGATCGCGATTTGCCACCTTCCCAGATGGCTTCGGAAAAACAGTTGATTGGGGAAGCCGGATTTGTTAATGACATGACTTACTTAACAACTGCATAATTCGCTTAATGACCATGGTAAACATAGTCCTTAAAATCTGTTCTGAAAATTCCAATCCCAATTTAGTCCCATACATTGAAGACTACCTGTACAATTAGTTACAGGGGGAAGGGAGGACAACAGGGAACAAATGAAGACATGGTGCCTGAAGACACCATCACAATGACACCAGAATACATTTGTTATTTGCATCATTTGTTATTTGTCATTTTTTTGCAAGTAGTCATTCTGTTGTTATCACAACATGTACTTGACACACCTGCAGTTATGCCCATTCACATTTTAAACTTTATGTGTTCATTTTCATCCATTGTGGGAGTCTCTCTCTCTCTCTCTCTCTCTCTCTCTCTCTCTCTCTCTCTCTCTCTCTCTCTCTGTGTGTGTGTGTGTGTGTTCCCATGTTGCATCAAACAATAGTGTACTGATTTATTCAATAAGCTACAAATAGCAGAATGTTCATAACATGCTAAGCCATTATTAGCCCTGGTTAATAATCCACAGCAGCTAGGTTCATATCACAAGGCAAGGCAAACAAATCAAAGCTTGGATTATCACATGCAGTCACAGGCTGTTCCTCTAATAGGAACAGAAGATTAGTTTAGATTCAGATTAAAAAGAACAGGCAAGGGGGAGACCGTTAAAGTTAGCTGACGGTTCTTTTAACTTAGAAAGATTCCAGATTCAAAGAAAGAAGCATATAGGTCCAGTGGAGAGCAACTGAAATATGAAAGATATGTTTTTTAATTGCATGGGGATGTAAGGATTTGGAATTCGATGGTATCAGGACTGTGGGAGGGAAATATGTGTTCCAGTTGTGGGTGCAGATCAAGGGGAGAGAGAGAGAGAGAGAGAGAGAGAGAGAGAGAGAGAGAGAGAGAGAGAGAGAGAGAGAGAATTGTCAATGGCACTTGTGTGGAGAAGGCACAATATGGGTTCAGCCAAATGCCATTTTGATCTCTTTTTTTCCCCCTGAAGCTTCTGATTGGGCATCTACACATTTGACAGCTTTCATGAATGGTATTATTTGATCCTAATTAAGCAAACACAATACTGTATTTAGGCCTTGATGTCCAGCCCTCATTTGACATTGTCTGCAGAGGCTCTGTTTGGAGGGCTGAAAGATGAAAAATATGTCTTTCTAGCCTATCTACATATGAAAGCCGGATCTTGAAATGGCCCACCAGTATTTTGCAGCAGAGTGACCGGGCCAATAACTAGGTCACCTAAGCATAAGTAGGAGCAGCCTTGCAGCCTCCACCTGGTGGTATGCGAGCCACTAAGACAGCAGATGTCCAAGTAGCTAACAGCTCAGCACATGATGTTCTAAAGACAGCACATCAAGTAGAACAATGCAATCTGTTCAGGGAACATGAAATGGTGGGAGAAGTAGGAGAAGCCAAGTCCATGCCAACAATGATCTTAGCTAGCCCAAATTATTAAGCAGGGTCATGCTTGGGTGGAACATAATGAAGTCCCAGAGCTGCTAGATTAGGAAACTGGAAAAAAAATAATCCTAAAAGGCATGGAGTCTTTATCTTCGTCTTTAAACATCTCATCTGTTTTGGGAGGCAAAACCAGGCATATAAAGAATCCATTTGCTGCATTGAATGTTCTTTGTTGACTGCAATAGCAATAGCACTTAGACTTACATACAGCTTCATGGTGCTTTTACAGCCCTCTCTAAGCGGTTTACAGAGTCAGCCCCCAACAATCTGGGTCCCCATTTTACCGACCTCAGAAGGATGGAAGGCTGAGTCAACCTTAAGCTGGTCAGAATCGAACTGCTGACAATCAGCCTGCAATACTGCATACTAACCCCTGTGCCGCCATGGGTCAGTTTTTAACCCAACTTACTGATTGCAAATGAACGATGTGAACTAGGTATTATTCCTCTATTCTTGCACATTTGATGTCAAATTGTAGAGTTTTACTCTTTTTTTTGTTCAAAATCCTTTCCTGCCAATTATCATTTCTGGAAAACAAAGGTAGAAAGTTTCTTTCGTGTCCTTGATATTTTGCCCAATGTTGACTCACTTTCACTCTAGTCAATTTCTTAGTCATTTTTACAATGCCCCCCCTTTCTGCTTCCAGCAATTGTTCTCAAAATGCTGTTGCTGTATTTCCTAAATTAACTTAGTACTTCTACTACTTTGAAACCTGTACTTGGCAAAATAATAATAAGCATAAAAAAAAAATCTTCCATCCATGTGGAAGATAGTTAAAAGATGTTTGATGAAATGGATTGTCTTGATGCCTGGTTAGATTTGATGCCAATAAATTCCAAGGTGTTATAAAAGAGCATTAAGACGATTCTTCCCCCAGAGCATGAAGAGGACGAAATATCAGGATACCCTGATAATAAATTAGATTTGAATTTTCCAGCGTCTTTACATATTCTTTTGCTTTATTTTCTTAGATAACTGACACTCTTTTCAAAGACACTGGGAATACCATTTTAATATTCCATCCACTTCATGACACCCATCCCTATGTTTTAGGTCCCACCCTCACCCCTTTTCGCCATTAAATTTAATCTATATTTTGCAACCACCCAAAAAAATTTTCTTTTCCCCACTTTGTGATTTTTTCCCCTCCATTTTTTTTCTTACAAATTTGACAGATACCCTAGGCCTTGTAGATACCTGTGTCTGCTCCATGGGGGTGACACTTTGACTATATAAAGAAATCTACTCCTCCTAACAGTGGAGTAGAGAAAAATAATAAAATAACAATAGCAGCTAGAGTCTCAAGAAAAAATGACATTCTTAAGGAATAAGGCCAAGTTGTACTAATCAGTGGGGATTATGGTTCTCCTTGATTGACTCCTTCCCTTCAACAGCGCAGGGTTTCAAAGAAAGCTTGAAAAACAAGCTGTGCATCTGCAGAAAGGCCACACGGATTACAGTAATCCTCATTTTCTGAATAAAAGTAAAGTTTCTGGTAAGTCGAACCTGACTGCTGGCGATTTTTTTTTATAGGCTTATTCATGCTGTTCTCTTAGCAATTGTGTGGAAGTGATTTGCCCCTCTCTTATTCCGGAATACCTTTTGATTTCTCCACAGATTTCCCCTCCAATAGCAACACACTTCTGATCCTGTGTAGTGCAGAATTCCTGGATTCAGTTTTCTCTCATAGGCTTTATAATTCCCAGGACACTCAATGGATAGTAGTTTGGACATTGCCGATAGACAATCTGCATCATCTACAACGGTGTTTTTCAAACCTGGCCACTTTAAGATATGTGGCCTTCCCACATAAAGAATTCCCCAACCATCAGGATAGTAATAATACTACTACTACTACTACTAATAATAATAATACTACTACTACTACTACTGATGATGATGATGATGATGATGATAGTCTTGTGGAAAACGAAAGAACTCTTACAAATTCCAGAGGGGTTTAGCAGAGAAGTTTATTTGCGCAGGTTCAGAGCATATTAGAGATAGGCAATTCTGAACGAGGAGGGCGAGATTAGCCTCCAGTTTTTATACTTTCCTTCTTTCAGGAACAAAGGGGACTACACATGATAATACACTGTAATACATTTGGATCGTTTCTCACGGGCATACAGTGGAAGGTTTTGCTACATACAAAGTATCCATGTGCAATGCGCATTTGGTTAGCCACATATTACTGACACAGAACTTTCCCAGTGAATTTTCCCAGTGATTATGCATTACCTCATTATTCTAGCAATTATGCAGACACATCATTATTGCAGACAAATCATTATTCTAATAATTGTTCATTTTACTACATTAATAGAGTTGGAAGGGAATTCTGGGAGTTGAAGTCCACAAGTCATCAAAGGGCCAAGTTTGAAGACCCCCCCTGGGCTAGAGGCAGGGGTGGGGATTCTGTGGTTCGCTAAACACGTGGGAATGCATGCCTCCCGCGATGCCAAAGGGCTTCCTCCTCGTTGCCCCTCTCAAAGCTGGCGCGGGATCCCTAATTTCATTCCCATCCAGCAAACCTGGGACTTCAGTTGGGGAGATAAATGCAATGGCAAGTCCGCCAGGAATGCAACTTAGAACCAGCCCGCTAAGATCTCTGGCGGAAGAATGTTAAACGGCCGGGACAAAAACCGGCACCCGCGACATTTTTACGAAGAAAAAAAAAAAAACTCGCGTGGGTACTAAAACGGGCAGGACGGGGACTCGAACCCGTGGCCTCCAAGCCATCGGACAGAGAAAACCCGAGGGTGCCACGGCTCCATCCGGGTCTTTGCGGAGAAGCCGGAAATGACAGGAGGAGAAGCGGGGAATTGGTTGCCTAGGGAAACGGGAGAGGGAAAAAAAAAAAGCAATCGCTTTAGGAGGGCGGGGCTTGTTGTGTGCACTTCCTGGGCGGGAGATTCGACTCTCGGAAAGGCTGGAGAGGAAGGCGGGATGCGTCGATAGAGAGGAAAGGTGGGGAAGGGCCCGCCCGGTTGGGGCAGGGTCCTGCAGGGGAGGGGAGGGGGCATTTGGAGGGGGAGGGGTGGAAGGAAGGGGAGTCAGCTGAGGAACCACTTGGTGGGTGGTGGTGGGGGGAGCTCATTGGGCGAGAGGGGTCAAAGGGCCATCAGCCAACGGTGGGAGCTTATTGGGCGACGAGAGGTCACGTGGGCCCCAGCCAATAGAGCTGAGGCAACGGAGGCCGCGGAGGGTCAGATACTAGAATAGAATAGAATAGAATTAAACAAGATTGTAGACTAGAATAGAATTAAACAGATCATAGACTAGAATAGAATTAAACAGATTGTAGATTAGAATAGAATAGAAATAAACAGATTCTAGACTAGACTAGACTAGAATATGGAATGGAGAATAGAATAGAATAGAAAGTAGAATAGAATAATGGAATAGAATAGAATAGAATTAAATAGATTGTGGAATAGAATAGAATTAAACAGATTGTAGATTAGAATAGAATAGAAATAAACAGATTATAGACTAGACTAGACTAGAATATGGAATGGAGAATAGAATAGAATAGAAAGTAGAATAGAATAATGGAATAGAATAGAATAGAATTAAATAGAATAATAGAATAGAATAGAATAGAATTAAACAGATTGTAGATTAGAATAGAATAGAAATAAATAGATTATAGAATAGAATAGAACATGGAATAGAGAATAGAATAGAATATGGAATGGAGAATAGAATAGAAAATAGAATAGAATAGAAATAAACAGATTATAGACTAGAATAGAACAGAACAGAATCTTTATTGTCACTTTGAATGTTATGGGCTTCCCCAGAAAAAACAGGCTTTCCTTAACCCAGAAAGCAAAACAAATGAAGGAAATCTGTGGGGTTTTTTTGTCTTTCAGTAAACCTCCCTTATTCGTGAATATTCTGCCAGGATGGACCAGAAAATCCTGCTTCTGGCATCAGAGGGAAACTCAGAGCGCCTCCAGTCCTGCCTGCAGAGCCTGAACGAAAAAGAGGTCAGCCCCCATTGCCTATCATTTAAATAGACACCCCCTCAAAGTATCCCCACTGGGGTTATTCGTGCACAACTTTTGTCTGGGAATTCCTTCTGTTCTATCCTCAGTAGCTTCTTCATGTTGATCCCCATGCTGGGCAAGCTATGGCACTCTGGGTAATGCTGAGCTAAAGTTTCTAAACTTCCTTTAAAGCAGTGTTGCTTAAAGTGTGGTCTGAGGACCTTTGGGGATTCCCCAAGACCCTGTCAGGGGTCCACAAAAATCGAAATTATTTGCCAGACGTTGAGAGCATTTGCAAAAATGTAAAAACCATGTTGCTATTGTTTTTGTTGTAAAAAAATAAGTTTTTTCATGAAAAAAAATATCGATATTTGTCCTGCTAAAATTAAAACGGATGTTTTCATAGAATATTTATCAAACCATGAACAAGAAACCATATTAAACCCATTAGACATTAACATAAATATTTTGTATGATTTCAACTGCTCTTACCCAGGTTTCTTGCCAACTGGGCTAGCTTGCCATTTATGAAATATGCTATCAATCGACACTTTTGCTGTGTCACTTGATTGTTTATGTCTGAATTCTCACTCGTTCCTTTTTTCAACATGTTCACAATCTCGCACAGATTATTCTTCGGATAATTTATAGATTACATTAAGAAGACATCAAATATGCATGTTTTTATTCAAGATTAACACTGGGGGTAATGTTGAATGTAAAAGTTCAAAGGAATGACACGTTTTGCAATTCTGGTCTCTTTGCCACAGTTGAATGACCTTGTTACGAAACACGCTTTGAGGAAGAAGGGGATTGGTGCTGTTCTGAGAGGAATCTTCAAAGGTACTTACTAAGACTAGTGGATTGATCTCTAGCCCAGTGACATGATTTCTTGTTCATACGAAGCTAGTCTTTTGAGCAAGTATAAACATAATGTCAGTTTCTGACCCTACTAGGGACAACCTACTTCTCAGTTTCATTTTAATACCTGGGTTTTCTTCCTTTTAATATCGTTAGAACAGGCTAGCATCAAGTAATAGCTTATAAATAGTTGATTCTTTTTAATCAGCGAAGTATTGGGAAAGCAAATTGCCCCATCTATTGATAAAGTTGCCCTATCTGTTGATAAAGGAACATGCAAGCTTTCAGACTGCAAAGATCCAACTTTCCACTGTTTTAAGCAGTACAACATTAACAATATTTTGTTGTTGTGTGGTTTTTGTTTAGGTTCGCCTTGCTCTCAACAGAAAGGTGTTGTCAGAAGACTAAGTATTTACAAACACTGTATCGAGTTAGTGGAATCTGGTGACCTGCAAGTGGAAATTGCATCTGAAATAATAAGACTGCTTATGTTAGAGGTAAAAGATAAAAATAGCTTCTCAGCAGTTTCCCCAAGTTAACACTGGGGATAATTGCCTTTTACATCTATGTCAGAAGTTTATGTTTTTTGAGTTGGCCAATATATTAGCAACATGATAACATTTCCTTTGCAGTCCAATGCTATGTATGCTTATATAGATTTCTAAAAATGAATACTTTGTTACTGTCCGGGATTGTTTGTTCCTTGTTGTTGTTGTTGTTAGGGCATCTCTCACAGTTGTTATTTTTTTAAAAAGCAACTTTATCTAAGCTGGCAGTCTCCACATGCAGTTTATGAACTCTCAGAATCCTTGGCAATTCTCATGTTAGCAGGGGGAAATTCTTAAAATTGAAGCCCATGTAATTGAATGGTATTGAGAATGGGAAAGGCTGCAATATGGACGATGTGGCATGCATAGCTTTGCTTTTTTTGATCATGAAGTTAGACCGGGCTACATCCGCAGCTTTTTAATAGCTGGCATGATATGCAAAATGTGTGTAATAGTTCCTCTTTTATTTTGGGAAAAGATATTTCACGTTGTGACTAAAAGAGGTACTTCTGTGACACTTTTATAGTTATTATAATGTAATTCAGAGCTCATTTTTTTATTTGGTCTGAACCCTTTTAATATAACCAATTATATAATATAATTTTTAAAATATTATATTTAATACATCAGGCTCACAAGATGCCAGGGCTTACTTTGGCTGACTTGGCTATGTTGTTCATTGAAGCAATTAAAGGAGGCAGCCTGTTGAGTGGCAAATCTTTGGAACTCTTTCCTACACTTCTTACTTTGCTGGCTACATCTAAAGAGACCCTTGAATATGGGGCAGGTAAGCTTATTCCTCTTCAGTTTCCCCTTCTTTGTCTTTTGCTAACTAGCAACATCTAACTTATTTCCTTTTCAGGTGAGCTGACTGGGGACGAATATAAGAAACAGCTGATTAATACCCTCTGCTCCAGCAGGTAAGTTTGCACTTGTCAGATCAGATGCCATTTGGTGGCATCTGTTCTGGTGGTCAATTTCATGTAAAGTGTTTATTGGCATAATTTACATAGGCACATGCTAAATTATAAGTAATGGAATCTCTCTCTCTCTCCCTCCTGCTCACTCCTCTTTCCTTCCCAATATTTTATGAAGTATCATCCTATTTCTTCCTATAGATAATGAGCAAAGGTAATAGAACGTTTACTTTGGTAATAACTGGAAATGTCCAGGATTACATTTGCCTTGTAATCCTTGGAGTAAGCCTCAGAATTAGAGCTTTCCAATACCACTTTGTAAATGAAAGCATTGCTTAAGAAAAAGAAAGTTGAATTCTGGATGGATTGTTGGTTACTTGTATTGGTATAAGCTTTGTGGATTATTTAATTAG